GCCGTCCGGGCTGAGCTGCGCCGCCTTGATGAAGAGTCCGGTAACCTTGTCATGCAGTTGCTGCCGGTCAGTGAAGCCCATTTCCGCCATGGGATGCAAGTCAGTCGGTGCGATAATCTGCGGGTATTTGACGGAAAGCCACCGCTCGAGTGTGCGGTAGGCAGTGCTGTCGTAGCCCTCGTTGGTGTACGAGACAGCCAAGCCCATGAGGGCGGCGAGGTTATTGGGGTCTTGCTTGAGAGCTTGCTCAAGCGCACGAATAGCCGCCGTCTCCTTCTCATTTTGCGCCTGCGCCGAACCAAGGTACACCCACGCCTCGGTATGCTGCGGGTTTTGTTGGACTGCAGCTTCGAATGCGAGAGCCGCTAGTGAAAGGTTTCCTCCCTCGCGCATGATCCGGACGCCCTCTTCGAATGCGTTCTTCTCCTCGCTGAAGAAGTTGTCCTCTTCGAAGAGATAGTTCTCGATGACGGGATCGCCGAGTCTGCCCCAGTCGCCGTTCATACCGGTGAAATCTGGACCCCAGTCCTCGCTGTCGAATTTGTCGAACGTCGAATCGTCGACCATGCCTCTTGCTGCAGCAGTTTCAGCCTGGATTCCTTTCCATATTGATTCGAAGTCGCCAAAACCTGTCTCACTCTGCATTGCCCTGTCCATTTCGTCCAGTTCAGGCTCCGCAGCCTTGGCCTCCTGCTCCTCCTTCTCCTGCAACTCCATCTGGGCGAACTGTTCCTCCCACTGGTTGTCGTCAAGCTCTACTAGCTTTCCCTTGCCCTTGGCGTCCTCTTGTTGTTGTTGTTGCATCGGTTGCTGGTACATGGGCTGAAACGTGGGCTGGCCCATCATGCTGTTGTAACCCATTCCCATGCCCATTCCCATACCCATACCCATGCCCATGCCCATTCTCGGCTGTTGAGCCATTTGCCCAGGCATGGGACTTGCTCTCGCCGATGAGGGCTGCTGGTTCATTTGTCTGAAGCGCGCAAAATCTTCGGGGCTGAATTGGGTTCCGGGGGGTTGTTGAAATGCCGACTCCATGGCGGCTTGGTTCTGGAAGTCACCCGCCCACGTCGGTGATGTTGAGTTCGCGCGGAGGTGAACTCCCTGGTTTGGATCGATTCGGACAGCGCCATTTTGCATGGGAAGCTCCTGCTGGAGACCTGGGGCTTTGTTAAGGAAACCGTTCATCATCTGTAAGGACCGGTTAGTTCAAAGGAGTCCGCGACTTTGGAAGTCCGCTGTATGCTGTATGCGTACCTCATCCTGCGGGGTGCTTGCGCCGGCGCTTCGGAAACCACCGGCGAGCGCATTAGGGCCCCTTTGCACCAATCTATCTCTCTGAAGAGTCTTGTCATCTTGAACATGCTTCTGAAATTGGCTGAGGGGGTTGCCGGAGGTCGAGCATTCTGCGCCACCCATAAACGACATTTTGAAGGATAGGAAGCCGGGCTTCTCGATTCAATATTGTGGCAACCGTAATGGAGGTGTATGTAGAGGAGATTACCCTAGAACCGCGGGAAAGTTCGATATCTGGAGAACTCGGGCAAAAGTTGGTTGGGCTTGAAGTTGGTAGACAGGTGGGATATGACTGGTTTGTAATTCAGCCAACCTCGAGCGGCTGCGTCTCCGAGAAGATACCGAGGCAGGCCGGCGGGGGGCTTAGGCGCGGCACACGGTTGATATCTTTCTCCGCAGCCGGAGGCGGGGTAGCCAATCAGGTTATCAAAGGTGGGAGAAAACGATAGTGGGGTGAGCGCTGACCCCAGTTCGTTTGGAGCTCTGGACTCTGAACCACGCATGTGAGTGGCGGCGCATGGGTGTACGAGAAACATGTCACTGATGGACTTCAACATCTTTATGTTCCTCATTAGGCAATTTAATCCGACAACCGCGACTTCGATGGCCGGCCTTCAACAATAATATCATCAGCAATGTCATTTAGACCCTGACGGCTTCCCATTTCTGTTAGTTTACTGTCTCCTTACCTTCGCACCCTTCACCAAATATCGAGGCAACATTTTCTCCCAGCTGCCCGTAGTTTTCTATATCATAAACTAGGCTATGGGTATCACATACGAATGCTCACTCGTGAGCCCCACATCTGCGGACCATTTTCAATCCTCCAGGTGGATCTGTAACATGCCGTGTAACGTTCTCCTTTTGCAAGAGACGCAGTGGCTCTGTGGTCATAAGCCCTTCTCGTGACTATTTCACCCCAATGAAGCCGATACTCTGACGAGCCTTGATGACAGCGCGCCGGAGAGCCTGCTCCTCCTCGTCCGTCCACTTGACTGACAATTGATCCCACTTCTTTCCGGGTGTGTTATACTCTCTTTTCCACTGCGTGTGTATGGCCTGAAGCCTGCTCATCTCGCGAGGATCCCCAGAGCCAGTGTACACAATGAAAGCCGTGCAGGGTGGAAGGCTGTCGTGGATAGCTTGAAGTGAGACTGACAGACGGGCCAAGCACTGCTCAAGAGGCGATCCGCCGAGCTTTCCGTCGAATTGAGTCTTGTCCAAAGGAGGAGGGCCTCCGTCACTGCTTGCACTTTCGACTCGGTTCTTGTTCCACCACCCTTGTAACGCCTCGAGCTCTCGCATCCGGCCCCAAACGAAGTCGACACCGCCGCCGGGAATTTCCAGTCCATCAGGATCTCCCTTCACAGCACGGATGACGCCGTTGACAACGTCCACATCGGACTTGCAGCCTATTTGATAGGTTGCTCCAGCGCCAGGGCCCTTGGACGGTTCGCCCCAATCTACAGCAGCGCTTGTCTTTCCCGTAACCAAGCCGCCTGCATCTCCGCCCTGTGCCTTGTACGCGGTCCCAGCTCTTGCTAGCCGCCGGAACAAGTTCTCACCTTGAGAATCGGATGCGCCCCACAACTTGCCCTTTTCGCACTTTTGTCTGACGAGATCGAGACAGGCGCGGGAGTCTTCAATGGGGTTGTGTCCATTGGCACCACCCTTTTGGATTTCGCGGTTGACGTACTTCTGAGTAAGCCACTTCAATGACGCCTTTAGAGGCGGACCTCTAGGATGGGGGTAGATTAATGAGGTATCGACAATGAAAGGGTGTGAGAACCGCAGGGCCTTCAAGTCAGACTCGAGCGAGTGCCCAATCAGGATCGTCCGTGGAGTGACGAGCTCAACCAACTTCTGTTGGATATCCTTCAATGTGGTCGTGACTGGCTTCAGCATCTCCTCCGTGATGCCGGAAAATCGGGTGACGTAGTCGATAATGGGCTTTTCTGGCTTCACCAGTTCGTCCATGATGAGCTCTCCCGACCAAGAGATGACGCTGATGCGGGTAAGAGAGTATTCGCTCTCTCCTGTCATGCACATCTCGCAATCCAGAGCGAGACATTCTCGACCAGCGGTCACGCTGCCGCTTTCTATCTCCGCCTCAGGCACCTCACCGTCTTCGAGCTTGTCAACTTTAGAGATTGCCCATCCTTCGGGAACCTTGAAGGCCGCTTTCCTCTCCTGGTTCTCGATGAGTGCCGGGTGGATGAGATGGCCGGCGGTCTCGAGTTCTTCGAGTGATGCCAGGAACTCGGTAATACGAGTTCGCTCATTCTTCCATCCTGAAGGCTCTCTCGCCGGCTTAGGGCCCTTCCTGTCGTCTTTGTTCTTAGGCATCGGTGCCGTCAAAAACGTTCCCATGGGCGAGTGAAGCTTCATGTACTTGTCATCACCAGGGGCCTTGACAGGCCACAAGTGAGGGAACATTTTGGCAAATCCCTGCAGCGCAACCGGCAGCTGGTCTGCAGCAAGAGCTCGAGGGTAATAATCGTCGGGCGTCGTTTCCGTCCGGTCCTGGTTCCTAGCTGGGCCAGATGTGTAATTGTCGAAATTCACCCCCTCCTTGAACATGGCCTCCTCCAATCCAGGCACCATCAACACAACAATTTTTCTGAAGTTTGGTCGGTGAGAAACAGAAACCCAGTTTGGGCCCGTTCCATCGGCGAATATATACAGGACAAGGTCGCGAAGCATAGCGAGGTTGATCTTGGAAAACAGCTTTGCGCTCGTGGAGAAGGTAATTGCGGGATAGTTGTTGGAGCCCTCGCGGGGGACCTTCTTGCGTTTTTTGCTGGATCGCTCGACTTTGGTCCATCCTTCGTCATCATCGTCAGGAGCACTTCTCTTCAAGCTGCCACTACTTTGAGTATTCGAGGAACTCTCCCGAGAACTATTTTCGCCATTCCCTGTCTCGGCTTCGGCAGTCGCTTCGTGGGTCTGGGAGGTCGTTCCGGGGACATCATCGGAGGCGACAATGGCACCCTCTCCGCCTTCGTCGCGATTTCTACGGCGCTTCCCCATGATGTCTCTCGTCCAATTGCTGCCGACGGTAATTGGGAGAGGTTCAAGAGGTCCAGTGGCGGTAGATCGAATTGCGCCGCCGTGGCTAGTTGAGGCGTGTTTGTAGGTGTGTTGGGGTGAATTTTCAAATGGGAGCTCAGAAAAAAAAGTTCCCTGACATGGGAAGCACAAATGCGACCGTTGATTCCCATTGTTAGGTGGTTTTGCGGGGCGACCCAATCGGCTGGGTGCAAGATAAGATAAGCGTCAACGGTCAGGGACCCTGGCCTTGAGCTCCTTCCCAGTCGACAGGGACTGAAATGAGGTAAGGTAGGCACGAGCAGGCAAATAGCAAGGTTGTCTGTCGCATTCTGTCGTAGTATACCCTACCTTGCCATGAGGTAACCCTTCGTCCTTCACCGTATGTCAAGACTCAATGGGAAGCAACCTTTCCTATTCGTCGTCCATCATACAATTTCTAAACCGACGGCTACCAAACACACACCCTTGGCGTCACGAAGCCTCAAGTTCACAGATCCGTGCCACCGCAGATTAGTTGAGCATTCTCCGAAATGGAAATCATCCAGTGCAAGTGCGCAAGCTGTCAAGCAATATTGGCAACTTTCTTCAATCTGTGGACTCAGATTGGGAAATCTTATTTCAGTCCGACGATTGAGGCCCAAGGCAATACTCAGATGATCGCCAAGGAACCCACGAGGATTGGTGAAGCAGGTTACCTCGTTGCCGAGTGGTAAGGAACCATTCACACCTTTCTTTTATGAATCGGTAGACTGATCTCTCGCAGCGAGCTTCAAGATGTCGCTTGCGCCAAATGTGATAATGTCATCGGTCTCATGTGTCTAAGTAGCCCAGTCAATCATGTGCTTCACGAGTAAGTCGACCTCGCGACTCGACTATATCCCTACTCACCCGAGGTAGCTCGCAAATACTTCTCAGAAAGACTTCTGTTGTATTTCTGAAGAAGAATGGCAAGCCGATAGAGCTCGACGTTCGCCGCAAACTGAAGCTTCGGGATGACTCTCGCCCCGGATCGTACTCGGCGAACGATCATTTCAATCCCGATTCTGGTAAGGGCTTTGGGCCTGGGCATGGGTCGCCAAACTCCGAGAACTTCGAGTTCTCTCGTTTGCGAGTAGAACTCGATGCGCAGCGGGAGAGCATTGACAGAATAGATACTGCCGGTTTCCAAGTGGTGTCCCAATTCGACAGCGCTGTTTCGCGCATCGAAAAGGAGATGGCAAAGCTCAACTCGACTCTGAACCAACTTCAGGGTGACTTCGATCTTCACAAAGCTGACTTGAAGTCTGTCGAGATTGAAACATCCAGTGGGAAATGCTCGACACAAGACAGTTCCAAGCTGTCTCGATTGGATAGCCAGGTTCGGACCGCAAACGCGGCCATCTCTGAGATGAAGAAGCTCTCCGAAGAAGTCAATAGGGAGAATGATGAGCTCCGAAACGATCTCCTAATCTCGCGAGAAGATTATCAAAGGCTCGAAAACGTTGCCCTAGGTCTACAAGCGAATGTGGCAAGCACGACTAAAACCGTGAAAAACATCCTCAACATGAACATTGACAGCGCCAAGGAAACAGCCAGTTTACGAATTGAGTTGAGGCAGCTGAGACAGATCCTGGATCAGGACCGCAAAAAGAAACTCGACCTGTCTCAACAGCAAATACCCTCGCGGGAACTGGATATCTTGGCCAGTAACATCACCAAGATTGGAGCTCGGGCAAACCAAGTGGAAGCATTGCAGATGGAGTTTGATCTTTTCAAAAGCAGGATACAGCGTCTGGAGGCCAATATAGAGCGTCCTTCTCAGCCTTGCGAGGAGTTGCAAATCGCAACTACCCAGCAATCCAAGAGCGTCGGCACATTTGTCATTGCGAACGACGTCGATTCAATGTCAAACAGCTTACATCAGGAAGCACCCGTCAAGTTTTCCAGCGAGGCAACCTCCATCACGCCCAAAGTTATACAGCCTACGAGCCGCAAACGAAAGGCACCAGCAGAGAAAACGGTCGGAACTGGTGAAGAGAACAAAAGCCCAAGACTCACCAGATCGGGTGCCATTGACAAGAGGAGTATTAAGAAACCGAGGGCCTCTTTGCCCGCGGACAGCAAATGTTAACGCTCCTGTGGGCAGCTCAGTAATAATCAAAGGATGTTTGTGTTCAACTTTGATCTCGTTCAGGGGTATCAATTAGCGGATAAATCGCGGTCTTCGCCCAAGTCCACCTCCAACACAGCTTTTCCAAGCTCAGACAACGCCTTGAGCGGCTCTACCAGAGCGTACCTGAAGAATTTATCCATTCCCTTTGGATCCATGATCCAGGCGTTGATCAGGCTGTTCTCCCGGTCTCTGCCTGGAAGGCTCTCAATTTCAGCAATCATCCATCTGAACATACTAACACCGTCCCAGTCAACCTTTGGTGTCCGATCCTTGTACGCATTGATCAAGGACAAAACCATCTGGCACATTGACACCTGGTCGAGATCCGCCAATACTCTGACACCGGCGGCCGACAACTTCTTCTTCGCAGCCATATCCCTCGCCAGCTTCACCAGCTTTTCCGGTTCAGGCGCTGTTTGAGACAGCTCGATGGCAATGGCAGAGAGACCTTTTGTTCTCTCGTTGTGAAAGGGGATGGGATGCTTGTACGGTTCGATCTCGTAGGCCAACAGGCAGGCAATGGCCAAGGCGCATTCGTGATTGACCCGGGTTTTCCCATAATAGACTGCCGCCTCGTCCACGAGCTGAGCAAAGGGCTCAATGGCCCACCGGTCATTCTCGGGAAACCATGAGGCCGACTTATACGCCTTCCTCAGCCACTTGTGCTTTGCTGTGGGCTCCATGTTGCGGAGTTGAGCAGGAAACATCTCTAGAAGTTTTTGGACTTCAATGGCTTGCCGCAATCTTTCTTTGCCGGCGACCTGAGGATGTTTGAATCTCTCGATATCAGGTGTTACACTCAACTCGTTCAGCTTAGCAACCCTCGAATCCTTCTGGGCAAGTTGATACTCGTCCAGGTCGTCGATACACTTGAAGCACTTGCAGTCAAAGTAATAGGATCTCAGTGTTTCATGTCTTTTGCTCTTTGGCTGTGTTTCGTCTGTAATCGCTTAGCTGATGTCCTTTCATGAGACAGTCCTGAAGGCGACTTTCACGACAACTTACCGATATATGATATTTCGACCTCATCCCCAGGCTCGATGAAAGCCATTGCGCGGAGTGAGGCTGACCTGCCGTCAAACTGGACCATGGCATTGGGGCTGCATGAGTGATTCATCATGGCAAGTGTTGTGTCCAAGTAAACGCCATCAGTCTCAGTCTCTGACACACTGAAAGCATTCGTTTGAAGCTGTTTCGCACTATTAGTATACACATGATATACTCGGCTTGGAGGAGTATATCGTAGGACACCACGCACCTTGCACAGAACCTGAAAAGCACTCTCCAGCAAGTCAACCGAAGCTTCATCGCCACCCAGACACATCACAACCCCACGCGCCTGAAGCTGCAACTTGACCATCTCTCTGCCCTGCCACGACTCGACGTTCCCCTCCAGCTCCTCAAACTTCTCCATCACCTTGGGCCGGAGCATGACCTGCGCCGCCGCTCGGACCGGCGTCGGCACCCAGTTCGGCTGGTCCGCCGGCTTCGTCTTGTGTAGCCTCTGAATCGCCTTGCACTCGACCTTGTGGACCACGGACCAGTTGGCCCGCTGGCACGCCGGTCCGCAGTAGGCCACCGTCTTACACCCCGTGCACGCGCGGAGCTTCTCCGTGGCCGGAGCGTCTTCCTGCTGCTGTTTGAGGCAGTGGTTGCAGTACTCTAGCGCGCGTGGGCCCGGCGGGAGCACGACGGCCGGGTTGTTGAACCGGGCCATGATGTCTCCCGGCTCGAAGCGGCGTGTCGCGTGGAGAGAGCGACCCTTGGCGCCATTTTTCTCGCCGCGTACCTCTATACCACTGCTTAATTCTGTCATGGTGAAGGCTGTTCTCTCTTGGTTGGTCCAGAAGATTTTAGAATTATTATAGAAAATTACTGAGAAACCTCTTCGATATGCTGCCCAACCCCTTGGCTAGAGACACAAGGCAAGAGAGATATCTGTATGCGCCACACTTGCATGTGGCTAATGCAAGGTACGCCGTGGGGACATCAAGGATCGACAGCCATGGGAGGGAAAAAAAAAAAGCTGGAGAAGCTCACCGACTTTCTCTGCTTTGAGGGTCGGGTGTGTGTGGGAGGGCGGCAGTCGTGGCAGTGCAGCTTTATGTGCTCGTTCAACTGGGCTACCGTAACTGTTCAGATGGAACTTCACCGAAAGCTCAAAGGGCCCCACCATCACCGCCCAAGCACGGACCCCCTTCCCTCCCACCTTTCAACCCCGCCTCGTCCCTACTCCATCCCACCAACTCCCGCCTTTCTGTTCACGGCCTTTTTCCTCAGCCTCACACGAGCATACACACATCTCGACCTCACAACACCTCCAACTCGTCTTCCTACCCCAGGTTTCTTCTTTGAGTCCCAAACGAACCGCGTCAAATCGCCTTACTACAAACCTCCCAACGCATCGACGTTCGCGCGCGCGCAAAGCTCTTTCTCATGACTACCATCGAAAACCTCAAGACCATCGACCCCTTCGCGGACGCGGACGAGGGCGACGCGGACAAGCAGAAGAAGGGCCAGGACTACATCCACATCCGTATCCAGCAGCGCAATGGCCGCAAGACTCTCACCACTATCCAGGGCCTGCCCAAGCGCTTCGACCAGAAGAAGATTCTCAAGGTCATAAAGAAGAAGTTTGCCTGCAACGGCACCATTGTGGAGGACCAGGATCTCGGAGAGGTCCTGCAGCTTCAGGGTACGTCACACTTCAGCGAGAGCTTCGTTCACGCTGTCCTGCTCCTCTTCGGCAGAAGCCCCCCGGTTCGACCGAGGGTCGCTGAAGCGAGCTCCGAGCATGGAGATACATCACCACTTATGTAGGCAACAAGCAAAGCTGACAATCGTGACGCCCAGGTGACCAGCGCAAGGCTATTCACGACTTCCTCATCGACAAGCAGGAGGGTCTCGAGATGGACTCCAAGGTACGTCAGATCACTGAACCCATGTCCACGTCGAGACAACCGCGTTCCAATTCCACCCGCGTAAAACCTAAGACATGGCTAACCCGAAACTCTCCCATAGCTCGTCAAAGTCCACGGCTTCTAAGGGAGCCGTTACTGCCAGGAGGCGCAATCTCCCCCTCGCAACCGAGCGGATCCCGGTGTCATAATCTCCGGAAGGGAAGGAGACTCAAGTACCGTTTGGTCCACCCCCAAACTCTTAGATCCATCTTATGAATGCTTCTAGAAGGGAGAAACAAAAGCTTCGTGGAGATGCTTTACCCCGGATGAGCTTCCGAAGCCATAGATGGGGGTTGGGACTCTTCCGGAAAGGTCGATTCCAACTCAGACGAGGAGAAAGGAAAGCTACCGAGAGGATCTTAAAGGTGCCTGCGGGAGGTAAACTACAACACGGTTCAGCTGCGCATATTCACAGCTAGAACATGTCGTGCCGCGCTGAGAAACTGGCAAGGGGATTTTTTTTTGGGCACAACGGTTTTGGTGGGTCTGAGCTTTTTCACAGCGTTCGCTTTCTTGTTGTGGCTCGTTCGCCGTCCTGCGATGATGGCACTGATGAGAAACAAGGCTTGCGAAAGATTATGAGCATCATGCCCAGTAATGAACACGTTAACTGAACCATTTCTATTCGCCGGTGACCGACTACATGTGCTTCAGGGGTTGCATCAGTTTACACCTTGACTGATTTCCTTTACCCAATGATATGGTAGACCTTCGTACTTCCACCCTGGTTCTAGCATTTTAGTTCAACTGTTAATTCGGTATCTTGGCAAGAGTATCATCGAATCACGCAAAGTGTGCAGTTCAGATCCCTCGTAAACATGTTTATTGAGGCTACACTCGGCGACCTCCGTTTTCTAATTTTGGTCTTCCATAAGTGCCCATCCATCATTACTATCCCTGGCAGGGATTAGAAATCTAGTCTGCCAACTCCTGATGTTCGCTGGTTGCCGGCTCGCTGTCACCAGTATGTTTGACACCGGACTGGTTGTCCTCGATTTGTTCGCCTTCAGCCTGGTCATCCTTGTTATGACCGGCCTCCCGCTTGTCTTTGATTCCAAATTTCTTCCTCAAGACCAGTTTGAACCTAGCTGTGCGGCCTAGCTTCTTGTTCTGGGCCATATCGTTCGCTCCGTCGTTGTTGGCAACATCCTCAACATGTTCTGCAGCACCACCGCTGTCAGACTTGGCGGCCTTCTCTTGCTGCCGAGTACCGGTAGAAGGGGGGGCCGGATTCATCCTGAGAGGATCATGAGGTCTTGGTCCTGCAGGACCCGGAGCCGGTAGTGCCAAGGCTGCTCGAAAGGAAAGGGGACTATTTTCGGATCCTGAGTAGAGATTTGGGGCTCGTTCTTGGCTCTGTGCCCTGACCTGCCACTCTTCTCTGGAACTGCTGGGGCCTTCACCGTTGTCGAGTTCCATATCAACGGCTTTGCCCTTGCCCTTGTTTCGCTTTGGGATCTCGAGGATTTCTTGTCCTTCCTCACTTTCCTGGCTTTCTTCGTCATCGCCGTCCTCGCCATCCTCGCACCCTTCGGCTTGAACGTGTCTTTCTTCACCGACGGCTCCGCTACTGACGGCACTGCCAGTGACGGGATTGGAAAGGCTGCGGGATTAAGCCTCAAGACTGCGGCTGGTGGCGGAACAGAGCATAGCGTGCAGAGACAGATGAACGACGGACGACACATCCGAATTTCCTCGCCCATGGCGATGTCCCTCGTGGCTCTGAAAACGGAGATGGTGTCATTGAAATATCCGGTGAACCGAGCGTTTCCATTCGGGTCTCCAAAGGGAAGGAGTTCGTTAGGGTCGAGAGGTATGAGATGGTTTCCGAGTACCATGAATCCAATGTTGTTCATGAACTCGCACAGTATGGAATGGTGCATAGCGTTCATGATGTGTCGCGACGTAGGAACTTCCTCCAGCCGTGGGCAGTAGTCCCTGTAGAGTCCCTTGATTGCGTTGGCGGCGGGCATCGTCAATCCCTCCTAGAAATCAGAGAGCCGGTCATCTTCTGGTTGGAAATTGGTCACCCTGAACATGGCCGGGCCCTGGAAGATGGCTGCCCCGATTGGGTAATTTCTCATTGCTATTCTCGGGCCATCTATGAAGTTGAGCATGTGAGGCATGGGTAATATCGACATTGTGCTGGCGACGGCGTAAAGCTTGTGTTGCGTGTAGTGGGTTGTGGATGAAATATTCGAATAGTCGACGAGTACTATGATGGGTTGATTAAACAGAAGAATGGATGAAGAACGAAGAAAGCTTCGGGGATAATGCGGATTGTGATGAAAGATGAAGTCTGTTGAAGGAGAAGAAACGGGAGAAAGGCGACAGAAGCGGAAAAGCTCGAGAAAAGAAGCAGAGTAAGTTGTGGCGGAAGGAAGACACCAGGAAGCTACGAGAGAGAAGGGAGGCGCACGAACACCTACCTTACCATGTAAGCGATCTGGGTGCCAGGTACGGGATGCGGTCACTTTCTTTGGTACACCTTATCCGGTACCCAAGAACGACTCGCGGCAGGAAGCTGCTAGCTAGAGTTGGGTGCGATGATTAGGCACTTGAGATTGTTACTGTATCGGAAGGAACTTCACTACCTCTCCTTTTCAATGGCAACGAGTTTAATGGCATCGAGTTCATTGTCAAGGAGTTGGAGGGTGGGATGAGGTGACACCATATGGTAGTCGCGAGTAGCACGGCACCGCTGGTCCTATCTACACTCCTAAGCAAGGAAGTAAGAGCCTGCGAATGCCATATCTCCGCCAAGTACCTTAGATGGCTTACCTGCTCTTGGTGACGATCGTCAGTAATGAAAACCATTGAGGATGGAAAGTCAGTCAGTGGAGAACGCGGTGCCTGTGATAACAGAGTGACGAAGGCTAGGAAAGAGCAGAATCGCAGAGCTCGCTATGCCGACCAGGCAGGTCCGTGTCCTGGATACGCCCAGCGGGGTCTCCTAATGGCAAGCAGTAGACGGGATAATTAGGCTTGATTTGCAAAAGGGATGAGCATCCCAGAGGTTCAGAAAGCCGATAGCCGCTCCCGGAGTGCCAAGCCAGATCGAGCAAGTGAAGCTGAGGCACTCGTCTTGATCTTTGTCGGTTGCTTTCCACAGCATACTGGAGAATGGTCAACTGGTAACAAAAGAACTGGAAATTTTGATTCAACCTCGAGTTGATCTATGTAACGGTATCATACACCACACCCCACTCTCATTCCTGCTTCTGCGCGGCAAGCTTCTTCGCTTTCCGCTCCTCCTCATCGAGGTGCTGCTTCTTGTAGTGGGCAATCACGTGGTCCAGGTTGGTCTGGGAACCGGCAATAACGTTGCGGGCGGCGAAGTTGGATACGGCCCTGCGCATCAATTGTCAGCTTCTATTCTTCTTCTCTCTCCATCATGAGGAGCCAGATGCCTTCCATATGGCAAAGGGATGCTCGGTTGGGGGGAGGCGTACTCGGGGAATCTGAGGTCGACATCGCGGTTGGCAGGGGTGGAGAAGAAAAGCAGCCTGTCGAAACCGGCCTGCTCAACAGCCTTGGTGTGCAGCGCGTTTCTCTCCTTCCATGTCTCCTGCCAATGCCACGCCTCGTGGATCTTCTGAGTGAGGTAAGGAGGCTCGCCGTCCTTGCCGGGGGATGTGATCTTGTAGACGACGTATGCGGATGGGATAACGGCGACGACGGCCCAGAAGAAGTTCTACAGAGTCTCAAGTCAGACAATTGAGTTCGGGTGAGAGATAACTGCGCAGTGACAGGCCAATTGACGACAATGGAGGGGTTGTTCGCAGACATACGCCAATGGGCTCCTCGACGGTGTGGGCGTGGTGGTGGCCGTGGTCACCTCCGGAGGCGTAGGTTCTCGATTGGCGCAGACCAGTCAGCCGTGACTGACGCGCGATGCAGACAGCCCGCGTTCGAATGGCCTGCATCGTGTATGACGTTTAGAAAACGGGGTGTCAATTGACGATGGGATATCGGTTGCTGGGAGTGCGTCTTTCGAGGAGGGAGCTTCGGCTTGGTGGAGGTTGATCCAAGGTGCCCGAGGAGCGTCACTTTTCGTGGATTAGCGCTAGCGCGCATAAGCGCGGCCAGCCGCGGCTGTTGAGCCAATCATCAGTTGCCGAATTCAAATAAGTGAAATCGCCTCTTAATGGGGCTTTTGGAGACAACTTGGCCAGACGGACGACTTCGACGGATTTCTATTTCGCGATGGTAACCTGTCCTTTTTCATTGTTGACTCATTTCTAATCTCGCGGTTGTGTATAAAGGCGTGCATCTCTTCAGCCAATTCTCATTGCATCAAATTGCATCCTCAGACCGAGTCAAGATTTGAGTTCCTTGAGGTCCACCTTGCGCACAATCTCTTACAGCAACACAACGCTTTAAGCTGGTCTTACACATGAGATAAAATCGTACCTGTTCACCCGGCCAGGTTCATCGATATCATTCAAATCAACACCTTTGCAACAAACAACACACAAAGGTCTAATTCCTCATTCAAACTGCCCAAAATGGCGTCGAGGAGATCAACCCGCGCGTCTCTTCTCCCATTCACACTTTTCATGGTCGTTCTCGGCCTCGTCTTTTTCGCATCATCAGCCTCCGCCTCGACACCGTCAGCACCCTCACCATCAGCCGGAGTAGAGCTCATCTGCCACACCGACAACCCATCAGAATGTTATCCCAAAATCTTTCAACCCACAGAAGAGTTTCAATTAGTTCACGATGATCAAGAATTACCACATGGCCTCCACGTACGCCTAAACATCAACACGGGCAAAAAAGAGGCCAAAATCAACGACCCAACCGAAAAGAACCCGGAACTCGAGGGCCTGCCCGTCGACCGCTCCATCGTGGTCGTCGACTCGGACGAGGCGGCACCCGCGGAGGCGCAGATCCCTAAGGATGCGCCAAAGTACGAGCCAGTCGGCGTGGTGAAGCAACCCAAGCAGGAGTCGGGCGAGTTCTATACGAGCCTCGAGTACGTCAAAAAGGGACCCCACGGAAGCGATCTCCCGATGGACGAGGCTCTCGAGTTCCTTGAGGACATTTCTCACGACATTTACTACGGCCTCAAAATCACAGAGACCTTTGACACCGTCAAGTCCCTCTTCTGCCTCATGATCGACCCCAAGACGCCCGCGGCGTCCGAGGGCGCTGTACCCCGCGACCAGCAGGCCGCGGCCATCATCTCCGCCGCCCTCCAGAACAACCCCACCGCCCTCGAAGAGGTGACCAAAGTCTGGCCCCAGCTGATGGATTCATCCTGCCGGTCCCTTCACAAGGCACCGCAACTCAAGATCCGGGACGGCTTCTACGCCTCATTCGTGCGCTCTTCGCCCGAGAACGGCGCCGGCGACGCAGCGGATCACGACGTCCTCCGCGCCGCGAATAAGGCCAAGGCGCAAGTCGCCGCCATCAAAGGTCTCATCAAGAGCCCCACCATCCGGGACGACTTCATCGCCAACAAGGGGATGGACCGCCTCCTCGAGGTCCTGGCATCCGAGGACGCGCAATGGGAGACTGCGCAGCGTAAAGCCGGCCAGCTCGTGCTGGACAGCTTCCTCGACGAGAACATGGGCGCCGACGTAGGCGTCTGGCCCCTGTTCAAGGCGTCCGAGGGAGACAGGTCCAAGAGGATTGCCGACCGCGTGAGCGACGAGAACTGGAAGGTTGCGGTGAAGGCGATTATGGAGAAGAATAAGGGTGATTCGAGCCACTGGAGCCGGGATCTGTATGAGAGGCTTGATGCGCATGAGAAGGCGCAGTTGAAGTTGATTGGAAAGGATGAGTTGTGATGAGAAAGGATGCATAGATCATGACATAGATATACCCAGGTGCTTTCAATGCCGTTGTTATGCTCACTGTCCATGCCGGTGCCCTTAGCGGTGCCGTACAAGTGACATGCCTCAAAGTACCTACCTAGCTCTGATCAGTGAGATTTCGGTGGGTCTAACCGATGACATTCTCAAGTGAAAGAACCAGGGCTGTCAATTTACTGGAAAGAAAGTGGCCACTTTTATCAATATTCCCAATCGGTCGAAGAAGAGAATTGACCAAGTCGTAAAACGTCACAGCAAAGCAGTGGAAGAGTGAAATGTACTTTTGGTATCTCTTCGTTGAATTCATTCCCATTTTGAGGCTCAAACTTTTTAGCGGACAACGATGTTGTATTGAACTATCATCGCCCAAACAACATGATAGCGGCCTTGCCTTGCTACCAAAACCATTTCCCGTTTCGCCTTGATGCCCGTTTGAATGCAAGAACCTCCCATAGACAGCCCACAACCATACTCTCCCTTACTTCAGGGGGATGAAACGAGAAGAGTGCGTGGCACCGATACCAGGTCTTCCGTGCTTGACGGGGCGGCTGGTAGGCTGTTAGTATCTGTTTCGAGGCATATCGCTGCACCGAGGCAGCATAATCGGAGTAGAGGGGGGGCACATACTAAGAGATGGAGAATTCAGCAAGGTAGTGACCAACCATCTCGGGCTTGATCTCGACGGTGTTGAACTCCTTGCCGGAGTAGATGCCAATGACGGAGCCGATCATCTCGGGAACGACAATCATGTCACGGAGGTGGGTCTTGACGAGGTCGGGCTTCTCGTTGGGCTTGGCCTCCTGCTTAGCCTTGCGGAGCTTCTTGATCAAGCCCATGGGGCGGCGCTTGAGACCGCGGTTGATGCGCCGGCGGGCACGGGCGTGGACGACATCGCGGAGCTGCTCAGAGTCGAGGTCAAGGAGACTATGGAACGAGAAGTCATGTTAGCTTGAACAATTCCTCTCATGTAGTGCAATTGAGGCTCGGTGTCTTTGGATCGTGGAGGTAGGTGGAGAGGGAGAACGGTGGTGATGAAATCATCGTGGTGTTCGTCGATCGTGGGGTGCGAAGTG